GGATTTGTGCTGAAAACAGTGTTGATAACACAGGGATGTTTTAGTTACTGCTGAGCAGTGCTTACACACAGTCAAGGCCTTTTCTGCTTCTCACACCACCCCACCAGTGAGTAGGCTGGGGGTGCACAAGAAGCTGGGAGGGGACACAGCTGGGACCGCTGACCCCAACTGACCAAAGGGATATTCCGTACCATATGACGTCATGCTCAGCATATAAAGCTGGGGGAAGAAGAAGGAAGGGGGGGACATTTGGAGTGATGGCATTTGTCTTCCCAAGTCACCGTTACATGTGATGGAGCCCTGCTTTCCTGGAGATGGCTGAACACCTGCCTGCCCATGGGAAGGAGTGAATGAATGCCTTGTTTTGCTTTGCTTGCGTGCGCGGCTTTTGCTTTGCCTATTAAACTGTCTTTATCTCAACCCACGAGTTTTCTCACTTTTACCCTTCCGATTCTCTCCCCCATCCTACCAGGGGGGAGTGAGCGAGCAGCTGGGTGGTGCTCAGTTGCTGGCTGGGGTTAAACCACGACAGCCGTGCTCTCTGGCTTTATCCCACATGCCACACACCAATCGTCCCTCGCAGTTCTCAGACTTTACTACAACCTCTGCTGGAGAATACACCAGGTCAGGTAGAAGAGCTTTCCAGTCTTCTAATAACTTTTCTTGCTCTAGATTGACACTGACTTTTGTGCTCCTATAACAAGGGAAGAATTCAAAGGCACTAATCCCCCACAACAGGATATTTGTAAATCCAGAAAAAAAAGCAAGCTTGCTTTGCTGATCTTTAAAGCTTCAAGGCAATCCATCATCCCCAGGGATGGGAATGCTGCTGCAGCAAAGCATGGCTTTCTCTGCCCCCCAGGTAGGGGCCAGGATCATCTTTGTGACTGGAATTTGGGCTGTCTGGAATAATAAAAAAATGGAGAAAAATGTGAACTGGAGTAAGGTTTCCATTATCAGACACAAAAAGCATGAACATTCCAAATGATGTAGAGCTAAAGTTTTCCTTAAGTCTGCTGGGAAATGTCATTCTTCAACATTAAACAACCTAAAGAACAGGTAATATTTTGTTTCAGTTCTTTGGCCAAATGGTTGTTTTGTGGGTTTTTTTTAAAATCTTTTGGCAGGTCTCTTGAAGTAATACAGGATCTGCCTTGGCTGAGGTGTCCATTTTCCTCCTCCCCTCCTCACTTTCCCTCCACCAGCTATCTTATCTGACCCTGGAGGTATTGCTGCACAAGTTAGACTTTGCAAATCTACCTTAGGCAACTCACTTGACTCACTCGTGCTTTAGTTTCCCAGTCCCTTGAAGAGGGACAGCATTTTAATTGACTCCAAGGAGGATTTTGAGATCTTTGGAAGAAAGGTCTGTTATACATGGTGAACACTCATTTTGCATGAGTTGAGAACTTCTGTTCATAGCTGGAGGGCAGTTTTCCTGGTCAGTTTAATTCACAACCCTGACCAAGTGGGGGTTGTTTATCTTTGCTTTGGCAAGGCTTTTGACACCGCTTCTAACAAAATTGTCACAAGCAAACTGATGAAGTACAGGTTAGACAAGCGGACAGTGAGGTGGACTGAAAAGTGGCTGAACTGCCAGGCTCAGATGTCTGTGATCCACAGCACAAGGTCCAGCTGGATGCCAGTCACTAGTGGTGTACCCCAGGGTTTGATGCTGGGACCACTACTGTTTAGCATCTTCATTAACAGCCTTAGTGCTGGGGCACAGTGCACACTCAGCATGTTTGCAGATGATACAAAACCAGGAAGAGTGGCTGATACAACAGATGGGTCTGCTGCTGTCCAGAGGGACCTGGACAGGCTGGAGAAATGGGCTGACAGGAACCTCGTGAAGTTCAGCAAAGGGAAGTGTGAAGTCCTGCACCTGGGGAGGGATAACCCCAGGCAGCAGGACAGGCTGGGGGTTGACAAGCTTGAGAACAGCTTTGCAGAAAAGGACCTGGGGATCCTGGTTGCCAGCAAGCTGACCATGAGCCAGCAATGTGCCCTTGTGACAAAAAATGCCAACAGCCTCCTGGGCTGCATTAGGCAGAGCATTGCCAGCAGGTCAAGGGACATGACTCTTCCTCTCCACACAGCCCTGGTGAGGCACATCTGGAGTGCTGTGTCCAGTGCTGGGCTGCCCAGTACTACAGAGACATAGACTTACTGGAGAGAGTCCACTGAAGGACTATGAAGATAAATAAGGGCTTGGAACATCTTTCATATGACAAGAGGCTGAAAGAGCTGGGACCGTTCAGCCTGGAGAAGAGAAGGTTCGGGGGGTTTTTTTCATTTTTTCTAATACCTGGAGGGGGAAAAAAAGAAGACAGAGCCAGACTCTTCTCAGTGGTGCCCAGTGAGAGGACAAGAGGCAATGGGCACAAACTTGAAACACAGGATAATCCATAAGAAAAGTTGTCTTCACTGTGAGTGTGGTCAGTCACTGGAACAGGTCACCCACTCCATCCTTGGAGATATCAAAGCCAACTGGACACAGGTTTGAGCAACCTGCTTTCGCTGACCCTGCTCTGAGCAGGAGGTTGGACTAAATTTCCAGAGTTGCCTTCCCACCTCATCTGCTCTGTGATTTTGTGACGCTAGAAGAGTGCAATGCCAGTCTCATGGCGGGATCAAGAAGCTAAACTCCTTCAGCAGCAGCAACCCTTCAGTGGGCTGGACTGGGGTTCTTTTCAGATATGTTCTCCCTTTAGTCATTGGTAATAACAAAAGTTGAATCCTGGGAGGTTTTAATTTTGAAGTTATTGTAAAACTGTGCTTTTTTATTGCTGTACAGTGATCTGGATCCAAAATTCTCCAAGACAACAGAAGTCCAGCTGCATGCAAGTGTTTATGAAAACTAACAAAAGCTGGGACAAAAAGGGCAGAACAGTCTGGATCATTTATGTGAATATGGGTGTGATAAAGAGTCTTCAAGGCTCCTGGTCCTGTTTTGGTTTGTGCATGATAATGAACAGAAAGAGTCTAAAAATGGGAAAAAGAGCTTCCAGATGAAAAGGGTGGCTGGACTGGGTTTTGGTCAGCTACCTCAAAGGACATGAAGAGCCTCTTGGACATTGCTTGTGCTGAATCACTCCGCGTGGAGCCCAGTGGACTCACAGGTTATGTCTACATGACTAAATGCTTCTGCATGATGGAGCAGTTCTGGGCCCCTA